ATATGTTCAGAAAAAAAGCAAAAAATGAGAAAAAGAAGAAGATAGAATAAAAGCGGTTACTGGCGCCATCTCTGATACCGCAAGAGAAACATATGTTCAGAAAAAAAGCAAAAAATGAGAAAAAGAAGAAGATAGAATAAAAGCGGTTACTGGCGCCATCTCTGGAACCGCAAGAGCAACCTGTTGACAAGGAAAGCAAATAATGCGAGAAAGATAGAGATAGAATAAAAGCGGTTACTGGCGCCATCTCTGGTGCCGCAAGTGAAACATGTTGACAAGGAAAGCAAATAATGCGAGAAAGATAGAGATAGAATAAAAGCGGTTACTGGCGCCATCTCTGGTGCCGCAAGTGAAACATGTTGACAAGGAAAGCAAATAATGCGAGAAAGATAGAGATAGAATAAAAGCGGTTACTGGCGCCATCTCTTGAATACTGAAAACATTCTTGAATCTGAAAATAATCGAGAGATGGCGCTAAGAACTAAATTTTATTATATCTCTGTTCTTTTTCCACTGTTTGTTCTCTTTGTTTATAGTATCTGCGGTACTTCAGAGATGGCGCTCAATGTACCATTTTTAAGTTATCTCTATTCTCTCATTATTTGTTTTTTTTATCTATATTTACTCTATACCTGCTCAAAAGATGCTATCGATTTCTGAGTAGTTTTATTGCATCGTTATAGAACTCGTTGATTAAAAATCTTAACAGAATTTATTTAATTCAATTTTTACGTATATATTTAAGAATGTATATTATATTTTATATATGTAAATTTTTATATTTTTATATTTACATGTACATATATTTTATATATGTATTATAAATTATTATATTAGTAAAATATAAATTTAAAAATCATTATATAATGTCAGTTATTGTTAAAATTAATAAATCATCTCTGAGTGGAGATTATTGCAAAACTATAATATTTAAATATTTCAGATATCGCGTGATTTAACATATTCGATTGAGATTAGAATTACAGAACAATGAAAGACACATTTTTTTTTAATTTCTTAATTTAAACCTATATAAGATTAATTATACGTTTCAAGAATGTAATTCAAAGAAAATTACATTTAATAGAATAAATTAATATAATATATTCATTTATCAGAACAAAAATGAAAACAGCCAATACAACTCGTTCTCATAATAATTGTTTATTGTTGAAGTGATATAGATATAATGATCCGTAACGTAATTTAACTACAATGAGACAGGTTTCGCAACTAGCAAGAATCATGTTTATACATAGATTATACAATATGTACAGAAAAACCTAAGATCGTACAAGCAATACTTTGTTTTGGACAACTTCACAGGACTTGCAATCGGGGAATAGCTGCCAGCCTTTCCGTGCTCCCTTTCCCATCTTTTTCGTCTATTCTATAGTTAAAAACGATCATTGCGCATGAGCGCGAAAAATCCGCGCTTTTCAAACGTGTAAACGTTCCACTTAACTTACGAAACATTTTTTTTTTTTTTTTAATAGCACACTAACGATTTACATCGATTTCTCTATCCCGACATCATTCGCCATTATACTTAATCGCATGTTTGTTATTTACAACAGTATTTATATACACGCATACATATATGTATACGATCGTCGCTCTTGGAGGAAACTTTTGATTTTTTTTTTTTTCTTTTTCTTTTTTTCTTTTTTTTTTTTTTTTTTTTTTTT